TATCTCCATCTAATCCGCCTTCCGAAAAATTTTCCTTGGAACTTAATCCGTAAATACTCTCCCCGAATATAACGGAAAGTTTGGGGCCCAATAGCTCAAATTTTTATTAACCACAATCTTAGTTAAGCTCTTAGCCTCTGAACCATTTGAGCATTCCAAACTCAACTACAAGAAGGTGCCTACCTTAGCAATCTTACACTCAATTGTTTTCAACTCATCCTAGGCTTAGGAACTCTCTAAATCCGCTCACACTTCAGCTTCCCTTCATCAATAAGAGAACATCAAGCCTTTTAAATTATTTGCCGACATCATAAGATAACCCTATGGCTACATATTTTCCCTCATTCAGGACTCGATCTATGTCTACTCACCCTTTCTTGAGCTTGCCCAATGGTTGGTTACACTTTGGGTAATTGATTTTGCCTTCCCAAGGGCCTATAAAAAGGCATCATGTGTTTAGACTTGATGCAATCAAAAATTTGGGAGAGGGACCCAAATTTTTGATCACAAAACATTACCTTTCTAAGAACAAAATAAAGACATAAAATGCTTAAAAGAACACAAATACTATAAAACACAACTTTATATAATAAAACGACTTACAAACTTTTGACTCAAATGACACTTACAATTTGACGCTTACAAACTTTGACACCAACAAAAATGACACCCTAAACTTGCTACTTGAGAAGAAAGATACAGGTGAGGTGGTACTTGCGGATAGAAGAAAGAGATTAGGAGACGAGACGAAAGGTTGGAAAGAACCCGCAGGATTTCCATAGGAGGAGGGGAAAGAAGATTGGAAAGAGCCCGCAGGATTTCCAAAACCAAAAAACCTCTCAGGTTTTTCTCTCAAAAATAACTCACATCATCTTTTTTTTAGAACAAACTCTTACATTTCATATAAACGAACACTTTTATAAATAAAGACTTACAACTCTTAAAATTAATCTTTTAACCTGCGGGTTGCTTGGAAATCCTGCGGGGCTCTTTCCCACCTTTTCTTTTTCTTCATCCCCTCCTGAAATCCTGAGGGCTCCTTTCCCACCTTCTCTCAAGCTTCTACATCTTTCTTCTCTCCGCAAGTTTCAATTCCAACTTGTATCCTTCTTCTCAAGGCCTATAACAAAACTTTAGGTGTTTAAGGTGTCTTTATTTTCAAGTTTGTAAGTGTTGTTTGTAAGGTGTCTTGTTGAATTTGTAAGTGTCCAAGTTGTAATAGTCTTTTTATCATATAAAAGTTTGTTTTTGTCTAAAAAAAAAAAAAAAAAGATGATGTGAGTTATTTTTGGAGAGAAAAACCTGAGAGGTTTTGGTTTTGGAAATCCTGCGGGCTCTTTCCAATCTATCTTCCCCCTCCTATGGAAATCCTGCGGGCCTCTTTCCAACCTTCGTTCTCGTCTCCTAATCTCTTTCTTCTATCCGCAAGTGCCACCTCACCATGTATCCTCTTCTCAAATAAGCAAGTTTAGGGTGTCATTTTGTGTGTCAAAGTTTGTAAAGCGTCCAAATTTTTTTATTATTAAGTCAAAAAATGAAAAAACAAAAGCCAACTCATCGGGAGATGAGTTCTTCAAGTAGGGGAGTTTGATGTATGCAAGGGGGGGGGGGTCAACACAAGTTGAATTTTTCTTGTATTTTCTTGCCTTGTGTCTTTTCATCTTCCCCCTCTCCTTTTATGTTATCTGTCCTTTCATCTTCCATTTGTCCTTTGTATGTTTGTTGGTTTCATGTAGGCATTGGCTGTTTTCGGTTTGAGCTTATGTAGTTGAAACTCTAGTGGTGCCAGCTCATTAATATCTAGTGGAGGAGTAGCTCATTATGAGCTGATGTTTAGCTCTAAATTCATTATGAGGTGTAAGATATTAGGTGAGTGGAACTTGTCTCTTCCTCTTCCTTTGCCTCTTGAGCTGCTGCATTATTTTTCCCTCTTTAGGCTGTTGGAACCGTGGCCTTCATGGTGCTTTAATGGTGGCTGTTGGTTTCTTGTGCTTGGCTGTTGGAACCGAAATTCCCTCCTTGGATTTGCTGTGCCGTTTGGGGTTTCACTGTGCTGGAACCGTGGCCACCTTTTGGAGATTTGAGGTGCCGGTTGGAATTTCTGAACCTGTGCTGAAATCGTAGCTTTTTTCCTGGCTGAAACTGTGGATTTTGCTGGCTGGTTTCGTGGCTTTTTTTTGCTTTTTCAGCTGCTGTTTTGGGCTTTTTGGCTTCTGATTTTGAACAGCCAGCTGGCCCTCATTGATGGCTTTTTGTGGGCTGCTGTTTGGGAGGATTTCCATGGATCTTTCCACTGTTTTCAATGCAATTTTCCTGCAGAATTTGTGCTGTCTTTTGGTCTTCTATTTGGTGACTTATGGCCTTCTATATTCTTATTTTAATGAGATTAATTAGTGGTTTTAAAGGGCTGTTTGGCTGCCCTCTTTGATCTTATAAGTAGGAGTTGTTTTGGAAATGTTAAAAAAAGATGATGTGAGTTATTTTTGGAGAGAAAACCTGAGAGGTTTTTGGTTTTGGAAATCCTGCGGGCTCTTTCCAACCTTCGTCTCGTCTCCTAATCTCTTTCTTCTATCCGCAAGTGTCACCTCACCTGTATCCCTCTTCTCAAAGTAAGCAAGTTTAGGGTGTCATTTTGTTGGTGTCAAAGTTTGTAAGCGTCCAAATTGTAAGTGTCATTTGAGTCAAAAGTTTGTAAGTCGTTTTATTATATAAAGTTGTGTTTTATAGTATTTGTGTTCTTTTAAGCATTTTATGTCTTTATTTTGTTCTTAGAAAGGTAATGTTTTGTGATCAAAAATTTGGGTCCCTCTCCCAAATTTTTGATTGCATCAAGACTAGTGAGTAGTGTTGTACGAGCATTTGTGTATAGGCCACATTTTCAATTATTTTCTTATAATTTTTCTTGTAGCTCTCAAAACTTTATAAATATGGAATGATAAGATACTGTTAAAGATTCAAATTTTAACTTTCCAAAGAGTTATAGTCCTTTATCCTTAGGTTTGTTATTTTATTCCAGTATTCATTCTCTTTATTTGTTCTTTTTTATAGAGTATCTATATAATGATGTTGAATACCTAGTTGTCTCTCCTCTTAAAGTAATCTTTTTCATGATTACTAAGTTTTAATTATAAAGTACTATAATTTTATTATTTCTACTTGAAATGACTTTTACGATCAGTCTGAGTATTACTCTGATAGGAAACACTTGAAGATTTCAAGTAAATCCTATCAATAGAGATGAAAATTAACAAAATGCTCCACAAATCCCATGGAAAATCAACAAAACAGTAATTTTTATTGAAGAAATCAAACTAACAGAAGAAATAAAGCAAGATACAATTGATCCTCTATTCGAGAGGAGGATTTATCTCTCCCAAATCTCTAGATGCCGCTAGAGCCCAAAAAACCCTAAACCTACGAGATCTCAAATTCCAATCAAATTCAAGATGAAATCCTTAGACAACCCCTAATTCAAATTTTCTCTCCCAAAGCAATATTTAATTGAGTTGTTCCCTCCCAAAACAATAATTATTTGAGTTGTGGGCCCCACTACTTAGCTGCTTCCCCCCCTTCCCCTTGGGTCCACCGCCTGTAGACAAAAATCGATCCACTAAGGACCGATTCAGCTGGTTCATCCAGCCCCCCTTGGGCTGGCCTAACATTAGAGTTCCGTCTCTGTTTCACACGGGCTAAGTCCAATGGGTCAGTCTAACAATACTCCCCTCCCAAAGTGCCACATTGTCCTCAAGGTGGAACGAAGAAAATTGCTATTAAAGCGCTCGATCAATAACACTGGACTGAAAAATGGACTGATACTGAGTTGAACGATCTCTACTTCCAGCATCTCCCAAATCAATCTTTCGATTTCATCCTTCTAGAATTAGGGATGATGATACGGATGAAAACTGAGAGGTGAAATTACTTCATTTAAGATGATAACATGCTCGTGTTTCTGCGCAGGAGGCAACCCTATGGCAGCTGAAAAATTTCACTGAACTGTTGAATCAATGACTGTACTGAAAAAGGAATGTCTTGGCCCTACTTCAATCTAATTCCCTATAGCCTATCAAGTTCCATCAGATAACCTTCTCCTACCTCTTTGCTCCTCACATTGGTTTTATGTGATATCATGGTTTTGGTGAGCCCTGCATCTCTCCTGATCACTGCACTTCTCCCTTCTACCATCAGCTCCATCATCAATGCTCCCCAGTTAACATTAATGTCCCCCAAGGTCTGTAGACACTTCATCCCCAGGATGACTTAAGTGCTCCCTAACTTTAATAGGAGAAAATTCTCTGATAAGGACATCAGTCAGAGATTTCAACATGTGTATCATTGACGTAGTTGTGGATCGACGACTACGATTCAGATTATATATTTTTTGATGTATTTTTATTTTTTGTTTTATGTTGCATTTGAGTTTTCTCATTTTACTCTATGGGGAATTGAGTCTATGTTGTAGCCCGAGGGCACTTTCGTCTTTTCGATTTTCTTTCATTTGGGCCTATTTATAGGAGGCCTCTTGCATTGTAATGGATGATGATTATTGAGTAAAATTTTAGATTTTTCTTTGTCTCAAGTTGTGAGCTCTTGAGTGGAGAGAACCCTAGGAGAGGGATATGCAATACCCGACAGCCGTCTGTGGATTCCAAGCTCACGGTTAGTCTTTGATTTATTTACTTCATACTCTTTCTCCTCCCCACCGCCACCCTACCCCATAATTTTCCCCCATACCCGAAGCTCCTCTCAATGCCCCATACTCCCGGGCTCCATTAGCTCCCAAGCCACCGGCCTCCTAGCAAGACCAGCAGCCGACCACCATCCTGCCCCCCCTCTTCCCCCCAAGCCCTACAAGTCGCCGGCCATCAATCCACCAGCCAAGGATTTTGAATTTCAAATTTCAAAATCGTCCATAATTACTTTTCTTAATTATGTCCTCATTAATTTGGAAAGTGGCTTCATTTAGATTCAAATTCAAATTTGAATTCTAAAATTTTGTCTATTAATAACGTATATTAGGAAACCTCCTAAACCCATTAAAATCTGAATTCAATTTCAGATTTAATGATAATCCTCAATTAGATCCTTTCCGGGCCCACATATTAAATACAAACACCTTAAATTTCCCTTCATGTGGTCGACCCCTCTCTAGCCCTTTCTCTCTCCAATTTTTCCACCTAGACCCCCATTAAACCCCCATTGGTTGCCGCCCAATCAAGCCACATTATTGGAATTAATTTGAATTTCAAATTGAAGATTTCCTCCCTCTAAATCGTAAAACCAATTTCAGATTTTAACCCAAATCCCTCTAATTCACCTCTATCCAAAATCCGGCCCACCTTTCACTTTCTCATCCACGGCCGAACCTTCCCCTCCAAACCCTCCTCACTGCAATACACCACGCCGTTCCATGAACATATATGGCAGATCTGGAAGTTGATCACGGGCTTATTCTCAATTCTCAAGGGGAGGCTGACGTCATCCAATCACCATTTTTCGACCCCGGATTTGGATTTGAAAGCACCGTCGAGGAATACATTGATCGTATCTCCTTCCACTTAGCAGACGTCATCAACGAACAAAGACCTATTAGAGATTGGAAGATCACCGGTCGACCACCTGTTCCTCCAACTCCGACTCCTTCCCCGGCAACTAGCACCCTTGTCATCGCATGTCTTCTAGTGGCGTGTCTAAGTTTTCTTGCAATCTTCTTCCACTAAAAGAACTCCAATTATGAGTGTGAGTGAGGGATTCCCCATGGTGAATGATCTACTTATTAAGCTGTGGATTCATGTTAACTTTCGCCATTAGCTTATTCATTTATGATGTTGTTGTTTTGCAAGTATCTCGTTAATCTCCATTGTAATTGATTGCTATTACTTAACTTTTCTACATAGTGTTCTAAATCTAACTTGAAGAATCATTATCTTATAATTGGGAAAGTGAAGTTTATACTTTTAATTAAATTCCTCAACAAAGTTCTTGTTTGCCACTTTATTTCACATCATATTTGGTATTAGAGCATGGTAGCATGTGTTACATGTGCTGGAAGTTCCTAGGGGTCTAGATTAACCTTTCCTAAGCTTGTTTGCATGCATACCATCACGTAGTAAATTTTTATTCACTGTTTTGCTTGCTGTCCACTAATTTCCTGCACTGTTCACATCATTTTAAGTGAGTATCCTTCTTTGTTTAGGTGTTGTCCACAACTTAGTTTGCTGTCCAAACTGTCCCTGCTCCATTTAGTAACCTTTTGGTGAGTCTTGCTTGGTGTTTAGGTGCTGCCCTCACTCTAAGGACCTTCCTAAACTCATAACTACCTTAACTCCCTGCTATAGTTTGCTGTCCACGCAAAAACTGCATCATTTAGAGGCATTAGTAGCATAGTATTTTAGTGTCTAGGTGTTGTCCTTTACCCCTTTACCTCTCCTAGTGTCCCCTAACTTCTACCCATGGATCCGGAACACATTCAAGCGACATTAGACCTTATCGTGGGCCAACTTGGGATGGTTACTCAACAAATTAGGAACACTCAGACTGCTTAGCCGACTTCAGACGCCAAACGGGTGAGCGACGTGAAAACATTGAGCGTCTAGGACACCCCGCAATTTACACCCCTTCTAGACCGCATTCACCATATGGTGATGAAACCCGGACTGAATATGGACCACCTTTTGATCAATATCGTCATAACCTTAGAACCAATCAGGACCCCATAGGACATGAACACACTTGGAGAGATAACGACACTCAATTGCTTAAAAACATCCAAATAGATACCCCTTCCTATGATGGTACCCTCGACCCTCAAGTCTCCTTCGATTGGCTCAAAGGGATGGATAGTTATTTCAAATGGTATAGCATCTCGGAAGCTAGGAAAGTTAGGTTTGCCGAGATGAAGCTTACGGGTCGAGCTAACCAATACTGGACAAGCTTGAAAAATATGTGCGAAGCTCGAGGTGAGCACCCCATCACCGACTGGCGAACTATGAAGCAAGAGCTCAAGAAAAAAATATCTCCCTCCCTCATACTTCCCCAAGATCCTAGATAGATGGAATAGGCCGACAAAAGGGAGTAGAACTGTAAAAGCATATATCTCCGCTTTTGAGGACTAAATGATCCGTTGCAGCGGAGAAGAGACCACTACCCCTGCCCAAATCCTTTCTATGTTTAGAGTCGGCTTAAGGGAAGATCTTCGAAATGAGTTTTTGTTACAGGAGTTGACACTTTGGAAGCAGCCTGCTGTTTAGTGCTTGATCTCGAAGAATCTAGGACCCATTCCCACTCTAAACACCTAGACTCCCGCCCAAACTCGTATAGAGCTTCCTCCAGTCAACCCCAAAATTGACCCGCTGGCCCTATGATTAACCGACTCTAAAGGTAAAACCCTTGAACGTGAAACTCCCAAAGCAACGTCTAGAACTAAATATTATAGGTGTCATGGCTATGGGCACATTTCCTCACAGTGTTCTAGTCCCTACAAGGTGACCATAATCGAAGAGGTTGAAGAAGAAGAGGAAGAACCTGAGACTGACTTGACCCATCGTGTTGACGATGAAAAAGACTTATTCTAAGAAGTAAATCTTGTTGATCTGCAAGTCGTTAGATGTGCGTTGTCCCAACCCAAACTCTGTGACGATTGGCGAAGGTCTTCAATTTTTCACTCCTTTACTAAGATCGGAGACAAGAAATGAGAAGTTATCATCGACAGTGGAAGTTGTATCAACG